CTAACTTGAATATTATTTTAATTATTTGACTCAACAATTTTCAAGCAATTGATTTTGGATAAGTTTTTGACGATTTCAAGTGAAAAATTTTATTGTAAATCTGAAAATAATTTCCATAAGTTTACTTTCATTAAATTAACAAATAATTGAGACTTCAAAAATTGATAAAAAAAATAATAAAAATGATTTACATACTTTAAATACAAATGAAAGAATTTTAAATGAAACGTTGACTTTATATCATATTATATTATTTCTGCAAATTAAAAACAACAATTTTGAAAGTTTTATCATCTTTCCTTAAATTTAACAAATTTTACAGAATATTAAAATTTAATTGACACTATTAATTTATCAGCAATAAAATTTAAGAATTTTTTTTTTTAAACAAGCAGTCATAAAATTCGGTGTTACAAATTCTGATTCTTTCAAATATTGTTTTGATTCAAGGTAGGCCAAAAATTGAGCACACAATTCATTACAAGTTTTAATTTTAAAAAATTAAATTGTCAATGCTAAAAAATATAAGATTTTTAAAAAATTCGAAATTGTATTAAAAAATAGTGAAATTAAAAATCAAAATAACTACTTCATGTCATGTATTTTTTAAAACTTTCTTTGTTACACATCCTTCTTTTAGAATTTATGAATAGAATAATAATAGAATTTATGAAAAATAAATACCAAAAACTTTCATCACTCGTAGACTCTCCTTTCATTAAACATATTTAAGCATTCATAAATAACGCAACACATTATTATTTAAAAGTACTTAGTCTTAACGAATTGCGATACATTTGCACGTGATAAATTGTTGAAAAAATATAATAAATTTTAATTTACCTATTTCTACTTATCAAAAAATATAACTTTGTCAGACTTATTACGTTATCCTTTACATAGATACATATATAAACTTAATGAGAATTAAACACGCTCTTAGTCTTAAGAATTTCAACATCATATCACATTTAGTTTCCTATAATAAGTATTAAAATGACATTACAGTAGAACCTTCATTATCTGAGGGGTCTCTTCCACACATTGCATCGGGGATTTGAGGTTCTACTGTATAAATATTTGTTTAATCACAGCACGTAATTCTTACTTAATTCTTATATAATAATTTAACGTCCAGCTTCGAAGGGTTCTGAATATTACAAAGTTACAAAGATAAATACGGCAATTGACGAAAAGAAAAATGAATACTAATCAAGCACAGGTATGCCGCAACTAAGTACTACAAAATTGAATAGGTAACTTCGAAAAGGGCTCAACCCTGAAAATGCTAACGAAAATGACACTTATCGTTTCTCGAGTTGAGCCTTTTTCGAAATTCAATTCCAATTAACAAAAAAAAAAGATATGCTGATCAACTGATCAATTATAAAGACAGCAAAATTCAGTTAATTGCTGTAGTGACGAAAAAATAATTTTTAAAAAGGATAATTGAGGCTTCCAATTCAAGAAGCGGTCGCATGTTCGAGACGCACTTTCTTAAATCCGTCATGACATAAAAATGACAATAAAATTATAAAAGTCAAAATTTTGATGTATTTTTTACAAAGTAGTATTTTTTAAAAATCAAAATATTGACATTACATGTCATTGATATTTTTATGCATTGTTTGATTTAAGAAACTACGTCCCGAGCGTCCGACCGGTTCTTCAATAGGAAGCCTCAATTATTCATTTAAAAAAAATAAAGAATAAAATTTTAGCAACATAAAAAGACGACTATAAAAGTCAATCATTACATCGAATAAAAAATAAGAGAAGATATATTATGAAGAACATCCCATGATCTAATGTTGATGGAATCTAGGAAAGTAAAAAATTATAATTTTTTTTTAAAAAGAAGCAAAACTAAAAGTAGGGTGTCTAGTAAGACTTGAGAAAAAAATTCCCTAACTTTCTGTCTTTGAACTATTCAAATTTATTTGACTATCAAATAAATTTTTTATTGACTATTAATTTTAGATATTATAAATAAACATTAACTTATCAATAATTGAACTCAGCAAAATTTTCAATATTTTTATATTAAAAAAAATTGGAACTTTCTTTTTTCTCAACATTTTTTGAATTTTTATTTAAGCAATAAAATATTCCTGTATTTTAAAGCAACAATTTTATTTAAAAATCTCTAAAAATTCAATTATTTCTAAAAATCTTAACTTGAACTCTTCCAAAATTCAATTATTTCTAAAATTTTAATCTAAAATTCTTTGCTACATTAATAATTTCAATCCATTTTATCCAATTATTCAAAAATTCAATTAAAGAAAACATTTTTTAATTAAAAATTCTCCAAAATTCAATTACTGTTTGAAATTTTGTTCATAATTTTTAGAAATTCTAATTTACTAAAATTTTAATTCAAACTCTTCTAAAACTATATTATTATTGAAAACTTTTAATGAAATTTTAATTCAAACTCTCCTAAAATTATATTATTATTAAAAACTTTTACTGAAATTTTTTTCTTTAAATAATTATTTCTAATAGCTTTAATCAAGTTCTTGGCATTTCAATTATTTGAAACATTTTTCAATTTAAAATACTCTAAAATTCAATTATTATCTGATTTTTATAAAATATCTTTAGCAATTCAAATTTACAGAAATTTTAATTAATAATTTCAAAAATCTTCGTAATTCAATTTTTTAAAACTTCTATTGCATATCTCCTGAAATTTTAATTATTTCTAAAATTTTTGTCTAAAACTCTTCTCTAAATTAATTGTTTGAAAAATTTTAATCCAATTTTTCAAAAATTGAATTACTAGCAATATTTCTTAATTAAAAATTCTCTAAAAATCAATTATTGTTTATTATATATAAATATTTTTTATTATTTTCATCAATTCAAATTTACAACAATTATAATTTAAAATTTCTAAAAATTCAATTATTTCTAAAAAATTTATCTGCAACCTTTTTAAATTTTGAATTATTTTTAAAATTTTTACTAAATTAATTTTTTTTAATAATATTTCAATTAAATTCTTCGATAATTTAATTATTTAAAACATTTACTAAACTTCTGAATTCGAATAATTTGCATAAATCAGACTGCGGTAAACTGTCTTTTTTTTAGCCATTAGAAATTATATTAAAAAACCTAGAATAATTCATAAAAGTGTTAAAAAAATTATTGGACGTTATTTAGAATTAATTAATTTATTATTATTTTATGATTAAACTAGTGGGAAAATTAGGAAAACAGATAAAATATGTTTTTAAAGTTGGTCTGTCAAATAACCTAATTTTGAAGTTTTCATGAGTTAATTACAAAAAAGAGAAATTATTAAATTGAATAAAAACTAACCGAATGTAAAGTATTTACGATAAACTTTTTGATTTTCTTGTCGCTTTTTATTCTTTTCATTTATAAATTTTAAAAATCTTGAAACTAAAATTGGCACTTTGTTGATTTTTTCGATTTTAAATCGTTTATAACTCTTTCGACGCAAAAACGAATAAAATCGAAACTTGAGAGAATATTTGAGTTAGATCTAAATAAAGACTCACTGAAATTTTTGCGATGGAGAATGTTCGAGTTAAGGAGATAGTTTAATTTAAAAATTGTACTTATGGGCAATTCCACGTCAGATTTCAGTTCACATTTTTAATTTGGAAATGGTAAAACTAGTTTCCAAAAAGTTTTGGAGTGGGCCTGATGCAAATAATATGTTTAAATAACTTGTTATAACAAAAATTTTGTTTTTTAAATATTTTTTTTATTTTTCGAATAAAAAAGTCTTTCTGGACGCTAGGATAATTCATTTTACACATACAAAAGCAAACGAAAATAAATTTTTATTTAAAAAATAAAAAGAAGAAATTAAAAAAAAAATTTTTTAAGAAGTTATTTAAACATATTATTTGTATCAGGCCCACTCCAAAACTTTGTGGAAACTATTTTTACCATTTCCAAGTAAGTAAGGAAAAAAAAAATTTGAAAAAAATTTAGTCCAAATTGAAAAAAATTAATTTGTTTATAAAAAATTGTTATTTTTTAATAAAAATTACCGAACTATTTTTTTCTCAGACACTATTAAAAAGTCGAGAAAAAAATGAAACTTTTCCTCTCTTGGCAAATTTTGTTTAAACTCGATAATTTCAGAGTTACAAGCCATTGAAAATAGGTCTACTTTTAAAAAACCAAAAATTTAAATATTCATAACTCAAAAATTTGTCCACTTATAAAAAAATAAAAAAAACGTCTTCATTTTTTTAGTAAGGAATGGAAAAAAATAGTTTTGACCGAATTAAAAATGTGAACTGAAATTTGACGTGGAATCGCCCTTATATTTCCAGGTTAATGCATAATATAATTTTTTTAAACTTGAAGTTGGCTTACAAATGAAAATTCGTTGAATTGGAAATTTTGATATTTAAAAATTCGAATTACTTAAAATTCTATATTGAATGAGAATTCTGATAAATTAAAAATTCGGTTTAATTATAATTATTTAAAAAAAAACAGTTTGGTAAAAAGAAATTTTGTAAAATAAAAATTCTGTCAAAAAAATTTGTCAAATTAAAAATTCTATTCAGTAAAAGATTGTTTAAAAAAAAATCTGTTAAATGCTATTTAGAAAAATGAAAATGTGTGTAGAAAAGAATTATATAAAGCAATAGTTCACGCGACCATCAACTTGGCGAGCTTTTATGAATCAAAAAATTCGCTAAAAACTAAAATTCTTGAATTCGGTAATTTTTTAAAATTATTTTTTGAAAAAAGTAGCATTTAGTAGCTTTTGGACAAAATTAGTAGTAAAAAGTAGCCCTGTCGAAAAAAAGTATCAAAAAAGTAAAAAAGTGTTTTACTTCGAAGCCTGCTGTTTTCAGCCAAATAAGAAAGCACGTGTAGTCTATAATTTTTTCAAGAAATATATATTTTAAAGCCGAAAATTATTTTCAGCCCACACCGTGCCTGATTTGAAATCAATTCAGTCTAAATATTTTATTCTTATAAAAATAGTGTCAACAAACCTTGACAGTCAAAATAGATTTCAGGCGAATCTTCAACATCGTCATCCGTGAGAATATTGTCATCTTTTTTATTATCCACGTCATCCGTAATAACATTATCATCAGTATTATCCTTGCCAATGGGCATCACTTCATTTTCTGATGTGCCAGAAAATTGACTTTCGATCGCAGGAGCGGGCGGATGCTGATTACCACTCTGATCGTCAGTTTGATGTTTTGACGGTTGTGTCGGCTTTATGTCAAGTGTCACTATATTATAACACAATGAAATAATAGATTAATATTGTCATATGAATTGTATAAACGAAAATCTATTTTCAATATGAAAGTGAAAGCTAAACGAAACAGGAAACTGATGCATTTTTCCTTATAATATTGCAAGCAAGGTTAACAGATGTCTTCGATAATTTAATTATTCAAAAAATTTACAAATGAAAAATATAACTTTTTAAAATAAAAATTATTTTCAAAATCTAAATTAAATTGTTTTCAAACACTTGTATGAAGGTTTTTTTTAGAGGTAATCAACTGTTTTAAAAATTTCAAATTGCAAATTATCTAAAATTTAATTATTGTTAAAAAATTTCATTCCTAAAATCTTCAATATGTTATTTACAAAATTAATGTCCAGTAATATTTTATTTTATATTTCTTTATACATACCCGTACTGTTTTTGGAAGAGGATTTTTCCAATTCTTCCATTCTTCTTATTTTTTTCTTCTTCTTCTTGCCACCTCAGCACTAAATGTTGCTCAATGAACATGTACGATCTCTCATCTGAAATGTATTCATAATTGTGAAATTCATTTTTCATAAGTAAATATACGTATTTTATTAATAATACAATTTGAATACATTAATATTAGTTTCAAATTAAATCTTGGAAATTAAAATAATATTGAAGCAAATTGAAACTTGAGCAGAAATAAAATTTCCATAAATCGGAATGTACAGATGTAAAATTCAGATACAGTGGAATCTCGATTATCCAAACTAATTCGGGCAGGACTTGGTTCGGATAATAGAATTTACAAATATTTTTATATAATTATGGTTAAATGATTGTTTTTGGGAGTTATTGTACACTAACGGATGGCATTTGTGTAATTTTTAGTTATTTATATTAAACATCAACAGTTAGCCAATCCAATTTCTACATTTTTATTATAGTTTTGTACAGATAGATATAAAAAGCGTAAAAAGCTTGAATAATGAAATTCTGATAAAATGATTCATAGTTCGGATAACAGAGGGTTCGGATAGTCGAGGTTCCACTGTACTTTTGATGATTAGGCGCTATAAATATACTTTAGTGATGAATGTGTACATATCAGCTTTTTGCATAATCTAAGTGAATTTAAGACTATTTGTAAAACAAGATTTTTTTTACGAATATTTTAATTTTTTTAAAATAAAACAATGTATGAAATTAAGTAATTAAAAATATTCATAAAATTATACTTACTGCTTTCAATATTCGTAACTTCGCATAAGATTCGACTACCTTCTCTAACTACGGCTTCGTTTTCGGATAAAACCAATCGAGTTATTACTTTTTTATTTTCTTCCATTTCTGAATATTTCTTTTTTCACAGTATTAATAATGCCCGAACTTAATAAATTTAAAGTAATGGTAAATTAATTACAAGCATCTCATCACCATTCCAGCAGCGTGGTCGAAAGGACAGAGACGGGACCATGGACTAGACTGTACATGAATCAACTTGAATTTGATCACGTTAAAAACTTAAGCCGCATTCACAGGTGCAATGCACAAACTATGGGTGTGTTCGGCAATCACTGATACCAGAGGCGTTTACGACGTTCTCCTCTTTGCACTATGAGCATGAGTCTATCTTTTTCTAGTCCCATTAGATAGAAAAAGACAGACATATGCTCATAGTACTCATAGCGAGAAAATTAAAGAACGTCATAAACGCCTGAGACAGCCATAGACAGAGAATACATAGATTGCATTTTCCCTATGAATGTGGCTTAAGTTTTTTACGTGATTCAACACCATTCATTTCACTTTCTTTCGACCACGCTGCTGGCACGGTGATGGGATGGTGCGCTACCAAAGAATTAAGAAAAAATAGTTTATCATAAGTTTATTTTGGAAAAGGAAATATTCAACAATGGAGGAAAAAAGAATCATAATCATAGGATTGGTTTTATCCGAAAAAGAAACCTTAGTTAAGGAGGGAAGTCAAATTTTATGCGACATTAAAAATATTGATACCAATAAGTATAATATTACGAATAGATTATTCTAATAATTAATTTCATGGATTGATTTATAATAAAAATGAAAATATTATAACTGATGAACACATTAAAAAAAACTTTATAGTTATAATTTGTTAAACTTAGTTTATAGCAAGTTATGCTATTATAGACTAATTCTCAGAAGTATCTGAATTTCACATCTGGGTCAAACCACTGAAAATCATCCGGTTGCTGGTATATTTATAAAAAATATAGTTTTAATATATGTAAAACTAGATGAATTTCTGAGTTTATTATAGCCATAATATATTGTATAAATTTTATTTCGTTTAAAATTATTATTAATTCAAAGTATGAGGTTCACGAGGTGATTTCGTAACCTTAAATGATGCACTTTTTTTGGAAACATTATTCAGAAACTATCAAATATTACATATATTATTACATATAATATTACATATATTACCGGAAACACAAATCAATTTACCCTACATCAAAAAATGATGGAATTATTATAAAATTATTTCATTTTAAGTTATTAATTCGAATTTGAAAATTTTTTCGTGAAAAAAATTTCACATTTTTTCGAAGCTTGTAACTTTGTTCTGGAAGCTTAATAAAATTTGAGGTTTCGCACATATTTTAATATTGATATAATTTACCTGCTATAAAAATTTGGTGAGGGTATTTTGCTTCGTTTAGAAATATATAAATTTGAAAACTTATCAAATAAAAGGGTTAATTCTAGGGCTTGAAGTTAACAAAAAATCTGAAATCTCTCTCTTTTTTACGAGAATAGAAAGAGATGTAAAATTTTTAAGTCCTAGAAATAACATTTTTAAGTAAAAATTTTTCAAAATTAGTATGTCTGTAACGGAGCAAAATACCCTCTCCAAATTTTCATAGCAGGTAAATTAAATCAATATTAAAATATTTGCGAAACCAAAAATTTTTTGAAGCTTCCAGAAAAAAGTTACAAGCTTCGAAAAATTATGAAACTTTTTCCACCAAAAAATTTTCAAATTCGAATTAATAACTTAAAATAAAATAATTTTATAATAATTCCATCATTTTTTGATGTACAATAAAATGATTTATATTTTCGGTAAATAATAATATGTAATATTTTATAGTTTCTGAATAATAACGTTTCCAAAAAAAGTGTTACATTTAAGGTTACAAAATCACCTCGTGAACCTCATACTCTGAATTAATAATAATTTTAAACGAAATAAAATTTATAGAATAATATTATGACCAATAAACTCAGAAATCCATCTAGTTTTATATTTATTAAAACCAGATTTTTTAAATATATGCCAGCAACAACTTTTAGATGATTTTCAGTGGTTTGAACTATCTGTGAATTCAGATTTATGGAAATTTTATTTCTGCTCAAGTTTCAATTTGCTTCAATATTATTTTAATTTCCAAGATTTAATTTGAAACTAATATTAATGTATTCAAATTGTATTATTAATAAAATACGTATATTTACTTATGAAAAATGAATTTCACAATTATGAATACATTTCAGATGAGAGATCGTACATGTTCATTGAGCAACATTTAGTGCTGAGGTGGCAAGAAGAAGAAGAAAAAATAAGAAGAATGGAAGAATTGGAAAAATCCTCTTCCAAAAACAGTACGGGTATGTATAAAGAAATATAAAATAAAATATTACTGGACATTAATTTTGTAAATAACATATTGAAGATTTTAGGAATGAAATTTTTTAACAATAATTCAATTTCAGATAATTTGCAATTAGAAATTTTTAAAACAGTTGATTACATCTAAAAAAAAAACTTCATACAAGTGTTTAAAAACAATTTAATTTAGATTTTGAAAATAATTTTTATTTTAAAAAGTTATATTTTTCACCTGTAAATTTTTTAAAATAATTAAAATAATAATTAAATTATCGAATATGTCTAATAACCTTGCTTGCAATAATATTATAAGAAAAAGTGCATCAGTTTCCTGCTTCGTTTAGCTTCACTACTTTAATTTTCATTTGTTAATGATGTGACATTAATGTAAAATTTCCATTTTCATAGCCAGTGAGATTATCATTCAGCATCCGCCCTCCCCGGCGATCATAAGTCAATGCCCAGCGGAGAATGAAGTGATGCCAGGGATGCCCATTAGCAAGTCAGGAGGGGTAGAGAAATTAACAACTGAGCGACAAAAGTTGGATAATAAAGATGACGAAAGTGTTGAACGTGAAGGTTTGTTACCACTTCATCTCAGTTTCTCAAGGAAAAAACTTGTCTTTAACACTTGACACATTTCTTCTTAAAATATTTGATTTCATACAACTGAAATTTGAAACAAAAGTTTATTTATTTATTTAATTTTTTATTTATTTTTATTAATTTTTTATTTTTAGAGAAATAACATTTTTAGGCCGAATTAATTTCAAATCAGGGAGGCTTCAAATGGTCGGGACTGAAAGTCATTTTTGGGTATAAAATATTCTTAATATCTCAACAAGTTGATAACTTATTATTTGTCGCGTGAAAAACTGCTTTAAATAATTATTTTTTACACCAATCTTCATTTTTCGAAATAACATTTAACAGAATTTTTTTAAACGACCTTTTACTCAACAGAATTTTTAATTTGGCAAATTTTTTTTGACAGAATTTTTATTGTATAAACTTTTTCTTTACCCATTTATTTTTTTTATAATTCTAATTTAACCAAATTTTTAATTTAGCAGAATTCTTTTTCAATATAGAATTTTAATTAATTCAAATTTTTAAATGTCATAATTTCCAATTCAACGAATTTTTATTTGTTCTAATTTTTATTTGCACAAATTGTTATTAGATAGAATTCTTGAAAATCTGAATTTTCATGTGTCCGAAAATTCAAAGGGCCGAACAAACAATCAACAGAAAGATTTTGGCGTGAATTTTAAAATTTATTACATAAAAATTATTTTAAAAAATTGTGATTGGTAAATTTTAAAATTCTCGCCAAAATCTTTCTGTCGATTGTTTGTTCGGCCCTTTTACATTTTCGGACCAATGAAAATTCGCTATTTTTGAGAATTCCATCTAATAAAAATTCGAACCTGAAGAAATTAGAAGAAATGAAGATTTGGTGAATTGGAAATTTTGCAGATACGACTGTAGGGGTAGTCGATTAACATTACAAGAGAGGTCGAAAAAGTCGAGTTTTTATTTTTTAATAAATAATAATTAATTATTATATAGGGGAGGATAGGGCAAGGATAGTTAGGTAAGATATTTTTGGATCTAGCCGTGAAATTTAAACTGGCATCGGAAAAAGAGTAGTATCTTTCGAAAGCCTGTTTATTTAGCTACAATTGTTTTTGTTTATTTTGCTATACATTGTTTTCTTGTAGATTACAATGCCTTCGAGATAATATTGGAAAAGTAAAAAAAATTTTTAACTATCATATGAGAAAGTATTATTTTTTAAATAATTAGGAGAAACATGATAATTTTATTCTTCAGAATTTTCCTTTCAATTCTTTTAGACAAGAAAATATTTCCACTTTAGCGTCAAACTTAAAAAAAACTAATTTCACTTCAGTTTAAAGATGCCATTTTTTTGATACTTTTTTTTCAATTTTGGGGATACTTTTTTTTTAAAAAGATATGTACTTTTTCATACTTTTCTCAGTCTCTTTCTACTACGCTTCGAAACCACCATTCTGTTATTTTTTAATATTTCTTAAATTTTTTCACCGGATTATGAAACTGAAACTGGCACCCAGTTATCAACTTCAGGTTAATTTTTGAAAAAATTTATGTTGGTACTAACATATAAACAAATGAATGAAACATATAAAACAGTTTGACAATTCTTACGCAAATCCTTAGGTTATAATTTGAAAACAAAAGAATTAAATTCAATAACATTCAAACCACGTCATCAAAAACTGAAAAGAAATATATCATTGATAAAAATAATAATAATAAAAATAATAATTGCAATAATAATAAAAATTAAATTATTATTATTCATAATAAAAACAAATAAAAATAGAAGAACAAATAATATTTAATTTAGATTTAAGTTTTAGTCAAGGCGAAAGTTATGAATTTTTTTCGAATTTTTTTTCAATTTTCTGGAAAAAAACATTTTTTTAAGGGTCTGAGGTCCGCGTACCGTCTTCTAATGTTTTTTTCGCACTTTCTGGGAGTAAGTGGAAGCTAAAAAAAAATTTTTATATTTAAGTTTTCGTCAAGGCGAAAGTTTTTTCCGGAAAAACAAATTTTTTGAAGGGGCTGCTGTCCGCGTACCGTCTTCTAATCTTTTTTTCGTACTTTCTAGGAGTATTTGAAAGCTAAAAAAAAATATTTTATATTTTAGTTATCGTCAAGGCGAAAGTTATGAATTTTTTTCAAATTTTTTTGGAATTTTCCGGAAAAAAATTTTTTTTGAAGGGGCTGATGTGCGCGTACCGTCTTCTAATCTTTTATTCACACATTCTAGGAGTAAGTGGAAGCTAAAAAAAAATATTTTATATTTAAGTTTTCGTCAAGGCGAAAGTTAGGAATTTTTTTCGAATTTTTTTTTGCAATTTTCAGGAAAAAAACATTTTTTGAAGGGGCTGATGTCCGCGTACCGTCTTCTAATGTTTTTTTCGTACTTTCTAGGAGTAAGTGGAAGCTAAAAAAAAATATTTTATATTTTAGTTTTCGTCAAGGCGAAAGTTATGAATTTTTTTCAAATTTTTTTTGCAATTTTCCGGAAAAAACATTTTTTGAAGGGGCTGATGTCCGCGTACCGTCTTCTAATCTTTTTTTTGCACTTTCTGGGAGTAAGTGGAAGCTAAAAAAAAATATTTTATATTTCAGTTTTCGTCAAGGCGAAAGTTATGAATTTATTTTGCAATTTCCAGGAAGAAAACATTTTTTGAGTTTTATTTTTTATATTTTTAAAATTCTCAAATTTAGTGTATTTTGTATGAAGGAAGATTATTTTTGTTTTTTTATTATTATTAGAATTATTAGTATTATTATTATTATTATTATTATTATTATTATTATTATTTTTTTTTTTTTATCAATCATATATTTCTGTTCAGTGTTTGATGACGTGGTTTGAATGTTATTGAATTTAATTCTTTTGTTTTCAAATTATAACCTAAAAATTTGCGTAACTTGCGCAAGAACTGTCAAGCGGTTTGATGTTTTTCATTCATTTGTTTAAAAGTTATTACCAACATAAATGTTTTCAAAAATTAACTTGTAGTTGATAACTGGGTGCTAGTTTCAGTTTCATAATTTTTTTAGAATTAAGTGCAATTCAACTAAAATTAGTAATATTTTTTACCTAAATAAAAAAAGTAAATTTAAATTATTTCAAAGTTAAAAGTGCCTATTCAGTCTTTTTCTTATTTTTAAATTCGAATCTTTCTATACACCTTTAAGCGTTTAATAATTTTTCAAATTTCTTATAGTGAACATATTACATTTTTAAATATTTAATATTGATGATAAATTGAATCCCCTAAAAAACAGTAATTTCGTTAGGTTCAAATTCCACTGGTCTCTCCACTTACCTGTTTAAGATTGTTTATATTTATCAGACATAAGTTTAATGTTTTTTTAAATACCTAACAGAGAATTAATTAATACGCAGGACCTTTAGTTTTTAGAGGGTTTTAATTTTGTTTCTTTTTAGGAAAACAATCAAAATTTTTTATTTTGACTGATTCGATCGGTTCTGGAACCTGAAATGATGCTCAAACAAAGACGCTATTACAATGTTTACCTGAAGTTGAAGAGGCATCAAAGAATAAAGACAATTTATCTAAAGAGTTCTGGCAAAGGGTCAGTGGATTAATAGCAACAAAAGGCGTTCAAAAAACGTGGAGTGAGTGCAAAGGAAAGAGGAAATCCTTAAACCGCACATACAAAACCAATTTAGATAAAAAGAACAAAACAGGAGAAGGTCCTGTTACTTGGATTTACTTTGATGAAATGCATAATATCATGCATAGAAAACCACAAATTAAGCCAGTAGCAGTAGCTTCCAGTATTTCTGGGTATAAAGAACGCATAGAAAAAGAGGTCGAAGATGAAAGCATTGAAGACGATGAACCAATTAGAAAAGGATCGAAAAGGAAGAGAGAAAAGGAACCGCCAATTTGGTGGCGCGAAGAAATGACAAAATCGGCAGAACGTTACGAGCGGCAATATGAATTGCAAAATAAATTGGTGTCATCTTTTGCGGATTTTATAAATTTAAAAAAAAAAGTACGAAGATAAAGAAAAAAAAAGTAAACATGATTTCCACACTTCATATCTGTCATAATATATCTTCTCTTATTTTTTATTCGATGTAATGATTGACTTTTATAGTCGTCTTTTTATGTTGCTAAAATTTTATTCTTTATTTTTTTTAAATGAATAATTGAGGCTTCCTATTGAAGAACCGGTCGGACGCTCGAGACGTAGTTTCTTAAATCAAACAATGCATAAAAATATCAATGACATGTAATGTCGATATTTTGATTTTTAAAAAATACTACTTTGTAGAAAATACATCAAAATTTTGACTTTTATAATTTTATTGTCATTTTTATGTCATGACGGATTTAAGAAAGTGCGTCTCGAACATGCGACCGCTTCTTGAATTGGAAGCCTCAATTATCCTTTTTAAAAAATTATTTTTTCGTCACTACAGCAATTAACTGAATTTTGCTGTCTTTATAATTGATCAGTTGATCAGCATATCTTTTTTTTTGTTAATTGGAATTGAATTTCGAAAAAGGCTCAACTCGAGAAACGATAAGTGTCATTTTCGTTAGCATTTTCAGGGTTGAGCCCTTTTCGAAGTTACCTATTCAATTTTGTAGTACTTAGTTGCGGCATACCTGTGCTTGATTAGTATTCATTTTTCTTTTCGTCAATTGCCGTATTTATCTTTGTAACTTTGTAATATTCAGAACCCTTCGAAGCTGGACGTTAAATTATTATATAAGAATTAAGTAAGAATTACGTGCTGTGATTAAACAAATATTCATACAGTAGAACCTCAAATCCCCGATGCAATGTGTGGAAGAGACCCCTCAGATAATGAAGGTTCTACTGTAATGTCATTTTAATACTTATTATAGGAAACTAAATGTGATATGATGTTGAAATTCTTAAGACTAAGAGCGTGTTTAATTCTCATTAAGTTTATATATGTATCTATGTAAAGGATAACGTAATAAGTCTGACAAAGTTATATTTTTTGATAAGTAGAAATAGGTAAATTAAAATTTATTATATTTTTTCAACAATTCCCACGTGAAAAAGTTATCGGGAGTCGCTCCCGGGAACCCCCCGGGAGACTCCCGAGAAATTTTCCAAAAATCTTTTTTTTAAATTTTCCATAAAAATGATCAAAGTTATCAAATATTCAAAATTTCCCGGGAATCTCCCGGGAAATTTTCCAAAAATCTTTTTTTTAAATTTTCCATAAAAAATGATCAAATTTATCAAATATTCACATCAATTCGGCGTTCAATATTTTATGGGAGATGACAAAACCCAATGTCATTTTTGTAACGTCAAAAACTTTTACATTATTTTTATTTAATTATGAAATATTTTCTCAATAATTTAATTGCAATTTCTTTTGGACTCGCTTTAATTTTTCCTAAGCAAGTCCAAGGTTCGCGCAACTACCAGGAATTCCATGCGTCAGCATCCCCGGTATATTCACCTATAGCTTCGCATGAGACAATTGCTAAACGCTCGAAATTAAAATTATATTTCGAAATTAAAGTTCTTCTATTTTAGCTCTTGAAGCCGACACGGGTTATTAACCTTTCCCTAAATTATAATTAATTATTTTTATACGTATAGGATAATTAATGGTCTATAATATTGAGAAGGAGCATAGATACGAGCTCCCCGTGTATTGTAGTACCATCGGAACCTTGCGGCAAGCCTCTTGGCGTTTTTCGTGAATAACTCAGGAACTACTCAAAGTAAAATTATAAAAATATGATATTCGGACTCGGAACGACGCCGCAGGCTTTAAAAACCTTGGTGCAAACTTCCCAATCCATAAATAACGAAGTTACCAATTGGGAAGGTTGCGAGTAGAAAACGAAGCTTGCGAGGTCTTTCCGAGCTCAGGTAACCTTTTCTCAAAGTTCCCAGATTGTAAACAACGTAACTAGCGAACGGAATTTTTAGGAAAGTTGCGGTTTTGAAATTATTATTCTATTTAATTTTCTAAATCTAATAAACCTTGCCGCAACGTTCCCGAACGATAAACACCGATGTTAATCCGGATAACCTGTAAAGCATCGCGGACCATTGGTTATCCATGCGCGTACCTGTGAGAATGTTATGGGATGAATAGAAACGCATGAACTCGCATGTTTATACCTAAAATATTACTATTATCATCATTATTGTTTAAGATATACGAATGGTTATATTATTGTAAAATAGTCACAATTTTTGAAGTTTATCAAATCAAAATTTGGAAATTGTAATTATCGAAATTAAAATGATATAAGAATTAAAATAAAGTAATTCATATATCATTACAGGCAAGAGGCTTCACTCCACGCGTTGAGTAAAGGCTCCCCGCGCATCCCTCGGCATTGTGCGAGAGAGAAAAGAAATTGTATGTAATGGCGAAGCGTTCTCTCTCACATACATTGTTCTCGCGGAGTATTGCGTTCTCCCTCTGTCACATGGTTTTCTCTCTTACTCCACAGACCGTTGAATGCATGGCGGTCGTTGGTTCTCGCATATTCGTTTGGACTATACGCTACAGGCACCTATACATGTGAGTTCGGGCTATAGGCGCTTACATGGTACGCTATATTCCACAGTACCATTACACTCTTATTCTCCTCACCTATTCTTTCTCCTTACCTCCCTTCTTCCGTCCAAGCCTACAAGCTATGCAATACAGTGCTGTCAGATTAAAAGCACGTGTAATTATTTATTTTGAGTTATGCTACTGCTCAATTCCAGATCAAAATTGGGTATGAAGTTGAAAATAAAATATTTCACCCAATACTGGAATTCAAACAAAATTAAAAAGATGTATTTTAAAAATTAAACATTTTTAAAGATACATGTACAGTGAATGTACTAAGGATTTTCCTATAAGGAAAATTCCTATTTTCCAATTAATTATCCTTTTAGGATAATATATCAATTTATTAATTATTTTAATTGGAATTAATTTTAACTCCAATTCTCGAAATTATTTAGCAACTTCCGTTCAAATGTGAAGTCAGCTAAAAATCGCATGGCAACAGGCCCCTGTGTTCCACCTCTATCTTTACAAATTTTCCTTAGTTTGCAAAAACTAGCTTAGTAACAATGTCCAATACCCTTGTTACCATTTCCACCTGTTTTCCAAAATTACGATTCAGCATTAATTTCCCACTTTAGATCCCTAAGCGTACCTACGAGGCATCTCTGGCCCATTTCTCTATGTTCAGTACGGTCTTGGTGAAACACGGAATAACACCCGTGCCTCTACCAATTAAAAGGCCAACGCGCTCCCGTCCGGTACCAAGGACCCGCTTTAATTGTATGCTGATACGATTACTGCGGCCGGACGTAAAATAAAATCCAACTTACTCCGAAGTCCACGGAGGCCGGTTGAAATTAATTCGGGGAGAAGTTTTAAGGGAACGTCGCTTTCCTTATCTTTGTCGCGAGACCAGCCGGGTACGTGTAGGACCCGCGCCTGCCCTTGTAATTGACAGTCAACAAATTAGAGTAAGAGGGTGGATTTGTCTGTCCCTGTCTAGTTAACGCGAAAACGACATACGGCAAACCGCTAATGCGCCACCCGAGTGAGTGTGAGAGGACACAAAATTATAATAGTTTCCTTTTTATTTTATTGAATGTTTTTGCCCGTCGGCAAGTGATTGTAAGGGGCGAGAAGGTGTTCAACCCTCAACTAACCAACCGTAGAATAAAGAACACGGAACGGTAAGTACTCAACGTATCGTTCCGAACTAAAACTCAATTTCATTTGTTAAATTTGATTATTTCTTTTTATGTCTTGCTAATTTCTTTTGATAAATAAAATTTGTGATTCTTTTCCTAATTTTTTGCTAATTAATTCTTTCCCTCTATTCTATCCATGACAATTTAATAAAAGAAGTCGCGATATATTTTCTAATTCAATCTAGCAAATATCAGCATTTTAGCGAAAACGAACCCATGAATATAAACTTAAATCCAAATTGGATTTAAGGCAGTTTGGACCTCCGAGAACTCTTGAAATTTGGGCCATCTCAAAAGCCCCCAGTTTCTTCTAATTAATTATTTTTAAAGTAATTAATTTCTATAAACTAATAATTTCTTTGGTTCGTAACAAACTGATGGTGGCAGCGGTGGGATTTCGTTCTCAATTTTGATTTCGATATTTCGAATCTTTTAAAATTGCTACCTTGCCACGTTTCTTTTAAAAATTGTTATCTTTACTTTTTGGTCCTCCTTTTAAATTCTATCCTATTTTGTTCTTTATCTGATAACAATTAACATGTCATTTTTGTAATGTGTGTTATCTATATCAAAATTTGAATTTTCCTTTTATTCTTTCTTTGACTTTTTAATTTTCTACTTTTTACTAACTGTATCATTGTATTTAATTGACTAAATTCTATTTGATCTTTAATTTTAATTATTGGCATCAGCAAAATATTATTCTTTGCTAATTGATAAAATCAGCACTGGATTCTGATCAGAGTAGTGTCTGACGACTCTATTGCGTGCTGTGAGATTTTGGCTCTCGGGTAACCGAATGATGACGTAATCTCGCATGCTGCGGTGGTGGCTCGAAAAACTCTATCAGGTTTACGTGCGTTTTAAAATTCAATTTATTTCAATTTGACTGGACTGTATATACGGATTCAAAATTGTTACAAGTGACGACTCTGACCACTGTGATAAAGAAATTTGGCTCTCTGGTTTAGACCAGATGACGACTTAATTCTGCACGACTAAAAGTGGCTGGTGGCTCCAAGGACAGTATTCGATCCGTTTTTACAACCCCCGAGTTTTCTATTCTTTTCAATTTTCTATGGTGCATAAAGGGATTTAAAATGGTACTATGTGATGACTCTGACCGCCTGGGATAAAGAAATTTGGCTCTCTGATTAAGAATCAGATGACGACTTAATTCTGTATCACTAAAGGTAGTCGGTGGCTCCAAGAACCGTGTTCGACCTTTTTCTGTATTCATAAGATTCTTTATTCTTTCTCACTTTGCTTCTAGCACTAAATTCTATTGCCTTTTCTAATGCCGAGTAAGCATAGAAAAAGAGGTGGGAGGTCGAAAAAGATCAAGTCAAAAATACAGGGAGAATTTTCCGCTGACGGAAAAATAGTGAAAGCTTTAGATTCTGCTGTCTCTCAAACAGATCTCCCTAAACCCCTTCCACCTCCAACTAACAACTTCTCTAGAAATCCTATAACTTCTGGGGAAAAATTTTCAGAACAATTGCATTATTTTGTGGTGTTTAATCCAAAATTCCCATTTCATAAGGGTACTGTTGTTAATCGCCATGACTTGAGAAAACTCTCATTAACCTTGGTGCGATCAGCTGACATCCTCACAGATACCCCTACCTTACGTCTAAGAGTGAGACGTATTGAGAATTATAACGACGAGAAAATAAGGATTATACGCCCCACCGTTGTACCCATAGAGTCTTACAAGAATAACGACCATGACAGTTGTGACAGTAACGCCACTCTAAAATACGACGATGACGTCATATTAATTGACTAAAATAAAAAAAAAAAAAAAAAAAAAAGATTTTTTTTCTGGCCTTCTAATGTGTCATCAGAGGCCAATACCTGATATAATTCCACCGCCAAAATATGAACTTCCAATTCAACCAGAAACCATCCCCCCTCCCCCTGGAATTATTCCTATTGCTGACATCATTAGACAAAGAAATCAGAACAATCAAATTACTATACAGACACGACCATCTAGACCTTAAATTGATCAATTCTTTTGTTTTTCCAAGTATACTAAACTTTCAGGATTTTCTCTCTTTCTTTACATTTTCCTGTTTCTTTTTTTTTCAACTCGTGAAAATTCTGTGCATGATCAACAGGAATTTTCCGCGGTGGCGAAAAGACAAGAAGCAACAATATTTAATGTGTCCCTCATGTGTTCTGACTCACTCTTGACATAAGCAAGAGTATGGATGTTCGGGCACAGTCGGCCACGTTAAAACAAAAATAATGTTTAACCCTTGTTATCATTATTTCTCATTAAAATTGTAAAAATTTTAATTTCGATTGATTTTAAGGTTCCATTTTCCCAAATTCTCCTTTTAGATAATTCGAATAATTTTCCTCGTTGGAAAATCTCAAGGAAAATCTACGAAATGAAAATCTGTTGTCTCTCAGACAATTATTTTTTTCTCTTAAAAAAAAAAAAATCTCTTTCAAATTACCTATTAATTCTCTGGTATTCTTTCTGAAATTATGGGTGGAATTTTTCAAATTCTCCAAGCCACTTCAAAAATTAATTTTTTTTTTTTGAAATTGTATTTTACTGTTGTAATTTCTTTTAGGTTTCCGGTAGCGAGTTTACAGGAATAATTCCGCGGTGGCAAAAAGAAACCTAGCATTTAAATTCAACCCCGGTCGACTGGAAAATTTTATTTTTTTTTCTCTTGTTCACTATTAATTTAATTTTGTCAAGATTCCACTAGCTAAATTTTAGCGACAAGTTTATTCGAATTTTTTTTAAATCTATCCATTTTTATTGTTTTTATTTACTTTTTTTTCTCTTTCTTTTTAATATACATATTGATTTTCTTATTAACTAAATTTAAACCTAAAATAAATAGACTAGGGAGCTCCGTGTATCCACCTATACTCTAGTTGGTGATAGGTGCCTAGATTGGTTTGATAAACCAATAAGCACCCCGAGACTCTTTCTCTCCCATCGTTGGGTACTAGACTCCAATCTACAAAAATAAAGGGAAATCAATTGATCAACTAAGAAAAAAAAGAATGAGCATATATGTACGGCTTTGTTAATTTGAAGAAACGCATACAATTAGGAGGGGAATCATTTTCCTTCAGAAAAACCCATCTGTCCTCTATGATGATGCGGCCTTGGTGAACGAGTTCCACCCTCAACATAACTCCTATGATTTTCTCCCTTCCTGCAGTTTCCATTTTTTTTATAAATCTAATGTGTCATTGACAATAACCTAGAGGTAACTAAGTATCCAACGAAAGAGATAAGATTAATCATTTCAGCAAGTTCTCCCACTAGCCAGTACGAAATACGACCCTAAGAATTCCATGATATTAAAACAAAATCTTAATCTTAAATTCATTTTAAAAAAAATGCCTGAAGGTTGAAATTCAAATTAAAGAAGATCTTAAATAAGATTTTTTTTTTTAACTCTAATTTGGCCTTATTTAGTTTATTGATTCTAACTAAGTTGAGTTGGTTGTTTTAATCGAAAGGTTCGGTCAAAAACACCCCCATAATTATTGTTAAGTCCATAAAGTAATTATAATTTTACATGGCACATAAATAGTAAATATGTAAATTAAGTAAAATTACTAAATAATCACTATTCTAATTACCGTAAATATTTCGCTATAAAAATATTAATTGTATATAATTAATTCAATTTTCAATAGGTCTATTTTTAATATTATAGATCATTGTAAGTGTTATAAAACATTTTAAGCTGAATAAGATAGAGTAAATATATATGCGGACGTCCACATATATAAGTAAATATATGTAATTTAAGTAAATATAATAATTTTAAATAAACAATTAATAATTATTAAGTGTAAATAATATCTTAAATTAATTAATTAATTGATAAATAATAGAGAAGATTCTAAGATCTTCATTGCTTATTAATTATAATGTAATAATATATTATTAATAAGTTTTAGATTAAATTGAATTTAATTTTAATCAATTTTAATATTAAAACAATCATCCCTATAACTATAATTTAATAATAATTATACTCCCTATCGTAGTAATTATGTACATATAATTATTTTATTGTAGTTATGTATGTATAATTATTTTATTAACTACTATAATAACCTATAGTAAAACATAATCTAAAATTTGAATTAAGATTTTACTATGTGTTAAAAATCCCAATTGAACCTGTTTGATTATAGCAACCAAACCATTTATTTTGCTTAATATTTCGTGAAATAATAAACCTAAACTCATCAAGAAAATAGAAGAATTCTGAATATTTCCGTTGTCTTAATTAGAAATTAATTAATCTAAAATTTTCTCTTGGCTACGTCCCTGCGTAAGAATCGCACAGGGCGGCAGCATAAACTGAGATTTTATTTAAATTGTTTCATGCAATATTCATTTTAGGGAAATTCTAAAATTATAATGACATTTCATTTATTTCAATTTTTGTTTTGAATTTATTTTTATATATAAAAAAAAAAAAAAAAAAATTTCCGTTGTTACAAACTTTTACTAAATTACTCTTCTCGTATAATTTTCTTTTTCAATCCAATATAAATGGTATATACCCTATTTATTTTGTATGGTGGAGAATAAAATATAAAATGATTATTTTTATAAGAAGAAAACTGTCGTTTTAAAATTCTTTTTGGTTTTTTTTTTATGTTTGCTCCTATAATTACCTCGAATTGTTCTGTTGACTTGCAGCATGAAAAAGTTTTTTTTTTCTTCTCAACTAATCGTTTTTTTTTAAATTTCTTTTTATTCTTTTTATGTATTATCGTTCTAAAATAATTTTTTTTTCCCGAACATGAGCAGGAATATTCCGTGGTGGCGATACAAAGGTTGTAACGCTACCACCGTAAATTGAGATAATGGTTAAGTACTTAGCCATTGTCTCCATCCAAATTGAAATTAACTTACTTCTGCTTTTAGATCACTGAGAGATGACCCCCAATCACCTATGTTTTACCTTATAACCAAGGGCCAATTCTTGAGATGTTGGACTGAGGGTACCACACTTAAGGTTAAACCAGGCAGAATATTTCCCGTATTCTAAAAAGGACTCGTTAGACGCCAGAAAGCTGTTGGATGAATATCATAACCTAAAATGCAACAAATTGCATTTTAAATCTACACGACAACCTAGATCGAACAATATCATAATCTAAAATGCAACCACCTGCATTTTAATCGAGGTGTAACTGTCATTAAACCTAACCCCGACCAAAATCAAGGTCTGCCAACAGCAAATTGGCTTTGCTCAAGTTAAGCCTACAATCCTGCCACACCATAAGAGCAAGACTAGTTCCACCCATGTTACAACGATGTCACCGTAGGTGGAATTCCATCCAAAATTGCCATTTTAACCAACAACATCTGGATCCTCAGAAGATAACTGTCACCTCACCGACAAATAAGGTTTAGTGCTAATGTAATTGTTAAAAAAAGATCGAATGCACATATATGTATGTATATGCTAGTATGTCTAAAAATACTTTTGATAAAGAACATTTTTTTACTTAAATTCAGTTTTTCTTTGGAATATTTCAGAATATGATTCTGCAATTAAATTATACCATCTAAAACTAAACGAGACTTTCGGTGCAACACTGTGATAAAGATCAGCAATGATTGCTATGCCAGTAAGAAAAGTCTTCAGTTTCATAATAATAATATAGCATGAAAACAAACGCCAATGGCGTGAGAAAAAGCTGAATTAGCAATCTGCCATTGCTGGCCTTTATTATAGTGTCAAGTGTAAAATTTTAATAAAGATTATTAGATGTAAATTAAATTATATTTAGCCACTTTGTAACTACAAATGATGGAATATAAACCTTGAATTTTAATCCGCACGCGATATCCCGTGCGCAGGAATTTTTGAGGTGACGATATAAATGTCAAATGTTTAAAAAGTTGTAGTAAATTATCGTTATTTTTCTTTAATTAATTGCAGCTATAAAAAGAAAGTATAATATCAATAAAAATGAAGTTAGTATTGCTGCGACTTAACACTGGCTTCTAAATGGCACTGTCAACGTTAGCTGTGATAGCGGCAAATGTTATTTATATTGTTAAAAAAAAAATTTTTTTTACAGATAAATCATTATTTTATTTATTTCGACTGCTTTATAATTTTTCTTTACAAAAACGGAGAGAATTAAAAAAAAAAGGGGGGGGGGAGGTCATAATACCACATACACAAAATACAGAAAAGAAAATTACTAAATTCAATTTAAAAGCAATGTATACATACCGTACGACATTAGTCTCTGCACCCAACCATTTTCCTTCGCGTAGTGGTAGTATTGGCAATTGTCCGGGTACCCATAAAGGGTTTCGAAAACCGGGCTGTAAAAAAAAAAAAAAAAAAAATTTATTCAAATTTAAAATAGAGACATCAATAAGTATTAAAATTTTTTTTTTGGAATTGAATTTTACAAAACTAAACAACTTATCAACCAATTCTGATGATAAGTTGTTTCAATTTTAATTTTAATCATTTTTGCCAAATCCCTTAAAATAACTGCAAATCTTTCTCCAAATGTAATAAATGTAATTGGTTAACATAATCTTCAATAAAATTAAATGTTAAAATAAATTAATACCAAATCCTAAGGACAATTATCAATTATAAAATAATAAAATGCTTGGTCTGTCCTTCTGTCCTAACTTGAAGTTGGTCTTTTATGATTCATTTTTATTGAAAATTTGGATAATTAATTTTGAAATGAAATTTTAGAAAATAATTTTATTTTATTTGAATTTAAATTAAAAATTTGGAAAATAATTTAATTTTAAAAGATTTTGAATTTAAAATTTAATAATTTAATAATTAACAATCTGAGGCCTATAAACATATATAATTTTTATTTTTATCATTTAATATGGAATAATATTCTAATAAATTTAAATAATTATTGATAATATTAATTTTTAATTTCTCTATAACAAATAATAAAATACTCAATTTGGCGCGCTTGTGCGCGTTTAATATTGCTAGTAAATAATTAAAATCTTACCGGTGCCCAGAATCCTCGAACAAGATAAATTTCGCGTTCAGAGTCCCATTTATATTCTTGGAACCAGTGACAGTTGTGTAAGGGCGCACGGGGTGGAGTCCTCTCACGGAGCGACGGACTATGGAACCAAGCATCTTGTATATCCCGTCGTGAAGGAGCCTCCTCCCACTCACCGAATTTAACCAAAAACCTGAGTCGAAAACATATATTTTTCAAAACTTAATAATTTTTAGGAGTTATTTAAACAAGAAGTCTTTATTAAACAAAATAATGAAATATAAATTAGTTTTACGATTTTTCATTTTAAAGTGTATTGGCATATTTTCAAAATTTGTATGTAATAGTTAAAAAGTATCACTTACCCTTGACAACCGCTGCACTCGGCTAAAGAACTTAGGCTAATTAGCCCCGCCTTTAATTGACGCAATTGAATATCCATACAAGCATCTAGCACTGATACACCCTCGTTAGAATATGAAGACTCCGGTTCAAAATGCTGTAATTGTTCTCCTTCCTTGACATCATCCTCACTATTAATTTTAAATAGGCGCTGTAGTGTTTTGAGAACTAATCTCCCTTGCACCGCCGGACCCGGTGACTCCTTTTCAGGATTTTTCTCCGCTGAGGCCGACCCAACGTCTTCCAGCATTAAAGAATTCTCATCAAGGTCCGAGAAATTTTCAAAAGACCCAATTTTAAAAATGCGTTGTAACATTCTGGTTCGAGACCGGTAGTGACTATCACCCCCCAGGATGCGCCGGATTTCCTTCGCCCGGCCCGCAGCATCAAAAATTTCCAAAAATTCAGTGTTGTTAATCCCATACAAATATGTCAACCCATTGTACCTATAGGCCACTTCACTCGCGTCACTTATTTCCGACATTGTAAGAAAAAAAAAATTTAGAGCAAAACTCGCGTGATACACGATTAATTATTCACGGCGGCCACCTACGAACTGACCTGCGGGGACTTGCGTCTATTCCGCGAAGGTAAGGGTGACGTGACGTACGGCGCCAAGACAGATGCTGTTATCAATGTTACTTGACACTCCATACATGGTTGCCATAATGTCAGCTATGCCAGTTAGAACCAATAAAACTAATGCTGCATGAATTTTATTTTATAAGGATGTTTAATTATTCCATCATTTGTAGGGTAATTTTAATGTTAAAATAATACTAAATTAATTAAAATGTACAACCCCTGTCGAGTTCAAGAGCCTCAAGTTTATCGGGGACGACAAACGGAATTTCCACGGTGGTTTGTAACGTCAAAAACTTTTACATTATTTTTATTTAATTATGAAATATTTTCTCAATAATTTAATTGCAATTTCTTTTGGACTCGCTTTAATTTTTCCTAAGCAAGTCCAAGGTTCGCGCAACTACCAGGAATTCCATGCGTCAGCATCCCCGGTATATTCACCTATAGCTTCGCATGAGACAATTGCTAAACGCTGGAAATTAAAATTATATTTCGAAATTAAAGTTCTTCTATTTTAGCTCTTGAAGCCGACACGGGTTATTAATCTTTCCCTAAATTATAATTAATTATTTTTATACGTATAGGATAATTAATGGTCTATAATATTAAGAAGGAGCATAGATACGAGCTCCCCGTGTATTGTAGTACCATCGGAACCTTGCGGCAAGCCTCTTGGCGTTTTTCGGGAATAACTCAGGAACTACTCAAAGTAAAATTATAAAAATATGATATTCGGACTCGGAACGACGCCGCAGGCTTTAAAAACCTTGGTGCAAACTTCCCAATCCATAAATAACGAAGTTACCAATTGGGAAGGTTGCGAGTAGAAAACGAAGCTTGCGAGGTCTTTCCGAGCTCAGGTAACCTTTTCTCAAAGTTCCCAGATTGTAAACAACGTAACTAGCGAACGGAATTTTTGGGAAAGTTGCGGTTTTGAAATTATTATTCTATTTAATTTTCTAAATCTAATAAACCTTGCCGCAACGTTCCCGAACGATAAACACCGATGTTAATCCGGATAACCTGTAAAGCATCGCGGACCATTGGTTATCCATGCGCGTACCTGTGAGAATGTTATGGGATGAATAGAAACGCATGAACTCGCATGTTTATACCTAAAATATTACTATTATCATCATTATTGTTTAAGATATACGAATGGTTATATTATTGTAAAATAGTCACAATTTTTGAAGTTTATCAAATCAAAATTTGGAAATTGTAATTATCGAAATTAAAATGATATAAGAATTAAAATAAAGTAATTCATATATCATTACAGGCAAGAGTCTTCACTCCACGCGTTGAGTGAAGGCTCCCCGCGCATCCCTCGGCATTGTGCGAGAGAGAAAAGAAATTGTATGTAATGGCGAAGCGTTCTCTCTTACATACATTGTTCTCGCGGAGTATTGCGTTCTCCCTCTGTCACATGGTTTTCTCTCTTACTCCACAGACCGTTGAATGCATGGCGGTCGTTGGTTCTCGCATACTCGTTTGGACTATACGCTACAGGCACCTATACATGTGAGTTCGGGCTATAGGCGCTTACATGGTACGCTATATTCCACAGTACCATTACACTCTTATTCTCCTCACCTATTCTTTCTCCTTACCTCCCTTCTTCCGTCCAAGCCTACAAGCTATGCAATACAGTGCTGTCAGATTAAAAGCACGTGTAATTATTTATTTTGAGTTATGCTACTGCTCAATTCCAGATCAAAATTGGGTATGAAGTTGAAAATAAAATATTTCACCCAATACTGGAATTCAAACATACGGCAAACCGCTAATGCGCCACCCGAGTGAGTGTGAGAGGACACAAAATTATAATAGTTTCCTTTTTATTTTATTGAATGTTTTTGCCCGTCGGCAAGTGATTGTAAGGGGCGAGAAGGTGTTCAACCCTCAACTAACCGACGGTAGAATAAGGAACACGGAACGGTAAGTACTCAACGTATCGTTCCGAACTAAAACTCAATTTCATTTGTTAAATTTGATTATTTCTTTTTATGTCTTGCTAATTTCTTTTGATAAATAAAATTTGTGATTCTTTTCCTAATTCTTTGCTAATTAATTCTTTCCCTCTATTCTATCCATGACAATTTAATAAAAGAATTCGCGGTATATTTTCTAATTCAATCTAGCAAATATCAGCATTTTAGCGAAAACGAACCCATGAATATAAACTTAAATCCAAATTGGATTTAAGGCAGTTTGGACCTCCGAGAACTCTTGAAATTTGGGCCATCTCAAAAGCCCCCAGTTTCTTCTAATTAATTATTTTTAAAGTAATTAATTTCTATAAACTAATAATTTCTTTGGTTCGTAACAATTTTTATCTCCGCGCTTCAGGAAAATGCCAAGTGCGTAAATCAAGATTAACCGGATATCCAGGTTAATTTGGATCGGTTAACTTCTTTGGGAAAGTTAACCGTGAACCTTGTTACCTATTAGAAAATTTGCGATTTTCTAGGGTTTAAAGTTTTCTGTTCACGGTTAACTTTCCCAAAGAAGTTAACCGATCAAAATTAACCTGGATATCCGGTTAATCTTGATTTACGCACTTGGCATTTTCCTGAAGCGCGGAGATAAAAATGACATTGGGTTTTATCATCTCCCATAAAATATTGAACGCCGAATTTATGTGAATATTTCATAAATTTGATCATTTTTTATGGAAAATTTGAAAAAAAATTTTTGGAAAATTTCCCGGGAGTCTCCCGGGAGATTCCCAGGAAATTTTGAATATTTGATAAATTTGATCAGTTTTTATAAAAAATTTAAAAAAAAGATTTTTGGAAAATTTCCCGGGAGTCTCCCGGGGGGCTCCCGGGAGAGTCCCGCTAACTTTTTCACGTGGGTTATCACGTGCAAATGTATCGCAATTCGTTAAGACTAAGTACTTTTAAATAATAATGTGTTGCGTTATTTATGAATGCTTAAATATGTTTAATGAAAGGAGAGTCTACGAGTGATGAAAGTTTTTGGTATTTATTTTTCATAAATTCTATTATTATTCTATTCATAAATTCTAAAAGAAGGATGTGTAACAAAGAAAGTTTTAAAAATACATGACATGAAGTAGTTATTTTGATTTTTAATTTCACTATTTTTTAATACAATTTTGAATTTTTTAAAAAATCTTATATTTTTAGCATTGACAGTTTAATTTTTTAAAATTAAAACTTGTAATGAATTGTGTGCTCAATTTTTGGCCTACCTTGAACCAAAACAATATTTGAAAGAATCAGAATTTGTAACACCGAATTTTATGACTGCTTGTTTAAAAAAAAAATTCTTAAATTTTATTGCTGATAAATTAATAGTGTCAATTAAATTTTAATATTCTGTAAAATTTGTTAAATTTAAGGAAAGATGATAAAACTTTCAAAATTGTTGTTTTTAATTTGCAGAAATAATATAATATGATATAAAGTCAACGTTTCATTTAAAATTCTTTCATTTGTATTTAATGTATGTAAATCATTTTCATTATTTTTTCTTATCAATTTTTGAAGTCTCAATTATTTGTTAATTTAATGAAAGTAAACTTATGGAAATTATTTTCAGATTTACAATAAAATTTTTCACTTGAAATCGTCAGAAACTTATCCAAAATCAATTGCTCGAAAATTGTTGAGTCAAATAATTAAAATAATATTCAAGTTAGAACAATTCTGCAGATTTTAACTCATAAAAATTTTAAAAACTCTAACTCAAAAGTACAGTTTCAAAAGTTATTCAAAACTTCTTATTTTGTTTATGTCTCGCTTTATCATTTAAAAATTCAATAAATAAATCGATCAGTCATTTCTTTACTCTATAAAAAGCAAAATAAATCTCATTTTATACTAAAATAGTCGAAAAAGTTGCATTTCATTAAAATTAGTCGAAAGGAGCCTCATTCATGGAAAAAAATCGAATAAAGTCAAAAAAATACCGTTATATTGATCTTTCACCAAGAACGTAATTTTTTTATTTTAATAGAGAATACTTACGGCTCTATTTTGCATTAACTTGTTACTTCATTGAAAAATTTTATGGGCTGTTAGAAATATCAGGAATTTTTATTTATTTATTACAAACGGGCAACAATGACTTTATTGTCTACATTATTATATTTATATAAGGCTCATTTCATTTAAATTGTCATATTCAGCTTCCAGAAAAGTTGAGTTGGAAAATTTTGATTTTAAGGTTGAAACTAATTTTTTTATACAGTTTAACATGTTAAATTAAATCGATCCAAAATAGCAACCATGAAAATTTAGAAGTTGATTCGATTCGCTTGAAACTCGTTACTTAGGGGCTTTTTGGGTTACAAATTACAAATATGACGTCAGATTTTCAAAATTTTAAATGGTGGATCCAATA